TAATAGCTTAGCTTGTTTCATTCATTCATTCATTTCATTCTGAGCCTTAGCTTTTCTGAATTCATCTTTGGGCTATACGCTGCTTTAGTTATGTGTCCCTCTTTCCAGTTTTTATACTCTTTTTGTTTTTCAGTTTATCAGAGAGTTCTTCATGCAACTATACTGGTTTTGCCTGGATTCTCTTATTTTTTTCTTTTTCAGTGGAATTGTTCTGGGTTATCTCAAGTTCCCCAAGCTTCTTGAATTGTTTTCTCTTTTATGATATCTATCCAGATATCTTTCCCAAGCTCTCTCTAAGCTTGTTGAAATCAGCTGTCTTAAAATATAAGATATTAGTGTCAGCTCTGAGATTCAGCTGCCAAGATTGTTATAAGGAATGCAAAGGGAGGTGGAGGAATTGGAAAGTTCAAGGTTATTTCGTATGTTGCATTAAAAAATTCCAGCTGCAGTTAATTGGTTCTCGTGATTAATGAAGTGTAAGAAGTGGGAGGAGAGAAGGTGGATTTTGTGAAATGCTGAAAATGACTTTCAGTTTGGAAATTCAATAGAAGTACCAGAGCTGTTCCTAATAAATCAGTTGGTGATTATACTTGTCACGGAGTGATTGATTACCATGGACAATTCTGGATGCCTAACATTTAGTTTCACTTTGTTTTAGTATGTATGCCTGCATTATGTTAAATTCCAATATGATATCATCACTCTCTGCCAAAGTCCCCACAACTTCGATCCCTCTATCATTTCATCTCTGTTAATAATGATTAAGTCCAGTATAGTTGACTCTCTAGTTCTCTCCTCCATCTTTTGGGTGACAAAGCTGTCTGCTAGATTTGTCAGAAAGCTCAAAGCTAGAAAAATAATCAGTATCACCAATGAGAACAAAGCAATTTACATTTGCCAGGTGTGAATATAGAGAGTTTGCAATCCCCAGTCGACTCCTTGGGGAAAGTTCACTAAACTGAATACAAGTGGCCTGTGGGGAGCACAGCAGCCAAATGACTCAAAGAGTATAAAGAGATGTGGTTAAAGAGGTGGCAGGAAGAAAACCATCATTCCTGACAGTCAATAAACCCCCATATGGGCCAGGCCACTGGTGAGCAGATGGAGCTTCTATCTACTATGGTGTGCTCCTAGTTTTTTTTTTATGCGGAGTCCCCAAGCAGGTCTGCTTGGTTCTGTGGCACATTTATTCTCCCTTTATTTGTTGTTAAACGCAAATAAAGTTTGAAGTAAGATGGGGGGGAACACACTTTTTTTAATATAGTGCCATATATACTGTATATAGGGGAAGGAATGGCAGAACCTGGGAATGTATGAGTAAATAAGGGGAATCAGCCTAGAATTGTCAGGTAGCCACAAGTGTCCTGTTGACCCTTATCTAACTCTAGATGTTGATTGTTACTTGATTGTTATTTATTTATTGCTAAAGCCTATGTGCATAGGCTTTAGCAATAAATTAGTTTAATTGAACCTTCACATGTGGACCTAGTCTTTCATGCATAACATTACAGTAAGTATACTCTGGAATGCACGATTTCTGACTGGGATAAATCCATGACATTATACAATCAGTAACCCAGTACATCAATTGTTTCATAATGGACCCAAGAGATCCAACCTCAGGTCTCCCCACTAATTTAGAACTTCTAATTGCCCTATCTTGCACCAATTCATTGTAACTGTAATGAGTAAATTTGTGGCCTCAGACCACAGGTTACTGAATAAACATCCACACTAGAAGAAAATTGAAAGTGCTTATTCTATCCAGTTGTTGTCTTCAATTTAATATTGTATAAACTACTTGCAAAGACTGTAAACATGTCAACATACGTAAAACACATAAGAGCAGAAACATGAGACTATTGTCAACAAGCATATATCTACAGTTTGCTAAGACCCCCAAACGATATAAAAATATTTTGTTTATTATGATTAAGAGGCCTATAACTTCTATACCTTGCCTGCTAAGGATTTTTTTTTTACATTTAAACCAATTACATTTATAGTAATTGGCTCTTTCTGTCTTTCATTTCTTTTCTTTTATTCTCTTTATGCTAAAAAAAAAAATGTTTGTGTGTTTATTACTTCTATAGCGGAATTAGTTGCTTGGTGGCTCATGCTCAGAAGTGTGTGTATGTGTTTGTACACACACACACACACACACACATATATACACACACATATAAATATGCACATAGAGACATACATACAGACAGAGAGATTGCATTGATTATTAGTGTGGGGTATTTTTAACTGAAATATTTTTAAAGGCTTCTTTTAAAGCCTAGCTTGTTTGCACAGCCAATTTAAAGTGTTCTTAAGCTACTGCAGAAGTGATATGGTGGTTGAATGATGTTATAAATCTATAACTGCTGGATTAATCCATAAATCCATCTCTGCTATTACTGGTAATACTGTAGCTGATTTAACTAAAGTCTAGAATGATGCTGGAATTTGCAGATTTTAAAAAAACCACTTTTTTTGTAGAATTTTGCTTCACAGATCTCTTTACCTAGTTTCTGAAAAGACAGGTGGCTATAAAACACAACATTTAAAAATAACACTGAGGAGAGAGAATTCTTGATCACAGAATATTTCTTATCATCAAGCTTTACTATTATCTCCCTCAAAAATATTTAAGAAATCCAATAAGAACAAATGCCACCAAATTAATACTCACTTTATATGTTTCTAAAATTTTAGTTTATGTGTAATTTCCATTGTATATAGCATAGCCACTATTTGTTTCAATTCTCAATGAACAGTCTTTTCACAGTTACTTGATTGGGCTGATGGGCACAATAAATTTAACCAAGAAGCCTTTAGACATATATATGATTATAAGAATGAAACTGGATCATGTTTTTATCATTATCTAACTAACATCTAGAATTAAGGCTCATGAAAATATCTTGAAGGCAAATTCAAACAGTTCCTCCATATTATATTATCAACTGGTAAGGAAGTGATAATAGTTGTGATTGTCATTAATTTCTAGAAGGAAATAAACTATTATTATTATTTTAAAAAATCCTTTAAAGAAGGCAATATTGAAAATATTTTAGCCAAATAAACTTCTAGGATCCTTATAACTTTGTTGCACACATATTAAGTTGGAAGCAATCATTTTTCATGTGTCCAATAAAAACACATTCTCTTCCTTTGAAAATATGAGGTTGCCTGATATTGATATCCACTGCTCTGATCATTTTGTAAAAGTCAGTGTTTAGAAGGCCTGATTCACACTGCAGCCTTAGGATGTTAACTAAACTTGGTTCAGCACATTTTCATATAAGCCTACAGAGAAATTGCAATGGTATCATGAAAGCTGGCTGAAGCTATCAGTATCTTAGTATAAGATGTGAAACGTGATTAGCATTTAAATATGAATCTGCATCTTATTGCTCTCAAGAATAATCTCAGATGTCTTCAGATCAGAGACATGAAATTCAGATCATGAAATTCTAAAAAAAAACAGTGTGAATTATTGCCTGTCTCCATTAATTGGAACAAAGGGCTCTGGAAAGCTATAAGAATACAGTATAGATAGTCATTGACTTTCAGTCAGAATTTCCATTGCTAAGCAAGGCAGCCATTAAGTGACTCGAGGTTCAGTACAGGTAAGTCCTCGACTTACAACAGTTCATTCAATGATTGTTCAAAGTTATAACAACACTGAAAAAGTGACTTATGACCATTTTTCACACTTATGACTGTTGCAGCATCCCCATGGTAATGTGATCAAAATGCAAACGATTGGCAACTAGGTTCATATTTATGATGGTCACTGTCTCCCAGGGTCATGTGATCTCCTTTTGAGGTCTTCTGACAAGCAAAGTCAATGGGTAAACCAGGTTCACTTAACCACCAGGTTACTAACTTATCAACTGCAGTGATTCACTTAACAATGGTGGCAAGAAAGATCGTAAAATGGGGCAAATTTCACTTAACCAATGTCTGACTTAGCAGCATAAATTTTGGGCTCAATTTTGGTTGTAAGTTGAGGAATTGTGACCTCCTTTTTTGCCACAGTTGTTAAGCAGATCTGGCTTCCCCCATTGACTTTGCTTGTTGAAAACCAGCTGGCACAAATGGTGATTACATCATCCTGGAACACTGCAACTATTGTAAATACATGCTGGTTGTCAAGCGCCCAAATTTTGGTCATGTGACCATGGGGATGCTGCAACAGTCATGAATGTGAGGACTGGTTGTAAATCATTTTTTTAGTGCCATTGTGATTTTGAATGGTTGCTAAATTAATAATTTAAATTAATGTAAGTTAAGGACAACTTGAATTGTCTAAGGCAGGGGTGTCTAACCTTGGCAACTTTAAGACTTGTGGACTTCAACTCCCAGAATTCCTCAATCAGCTGGCTGGGGGATTCTGGGAGTTGAAGTCCACAAGTCTTAAAGTTGCCAAGGTTGGACACCCCTGGTCTAAGGCAAATTGCCTTCAATAACAAGAAAATGTGACTTAGTTGCAAAATAAATTAGACTAGAGACATTTCCCATTTTCCCAGTTGAGGATATTTAGATGATATAACTTTTAAACTGCACACATTAACTTGCAGTTCTTTAGTACAGGGGATATTATTTGTTCCGAAACAATAAAAACACATACTTCCAGAAACAGGACATTTTACCTGTTTCATGGTATCTCTCATTTAGTATTTAAACCAATTTGAAGTATATACAAAAAGTTAGGGAGTATAATTTAAAATTGAGGGGAAGAGGAGAGATTGGAGGAGATATGGCTGGAAACAAGGGAAGAATCCCAATTCTTATAAGGTCCTGCATGTTTCTTAAAAATAAAGTGATAAGTTTAAACATATTTTTAAAATCTTTTTGAAAGTAACATGTAGTATAGCTCTTACAAAAGGTCTTACAATATCTATGTGCTGAAATAGTTTTTCACTAGAGGACAGGAAGAGACATAAGTAATATTAACCTATAAAAATAATTTAAGTGATATAGGAATAATTGTTATTGTTACTCACCCTAACTTCATATTCATTATCTGAGTAATCCACAGACTGGCAGATATAGCTGTATCCTCGAGCTCTTGATGACAAAACTAGCTGAAAGTAGGAATTCACAAATTAATATTGAAAAAATTTATCACTTAAAAATAACCTTTCTAAACTAACCAGCTTACTTTAATAAAGCTTCAGTTTAAATTTCTGCTCTCTTTTTCCTCTCAAAGGGTCACTTAAGCTCAATGTGTAAATCCTAGGCTGCAAACTTTGATCTGGGGTATCCAATCCCTATGAAAGTACCATGGATCACTATCACAAAGCTTTTGGCGTGAGAGAATATGAAACTTATGTTATTTATTATAACTTATGTTATTTATTCATTTAACTTAGTTCCTGGGTTTTTTCTATTTCACTGAAGACTTAAGGCATCTCACAACTATTACCACAAAAGAAAACAAAAATACCTCAAATAAAAGCCTACAAATATCGTAAGTGGAAACATTCAACAGATTGGAAAAAGGGGGGCCTTGGTGCTCTCTGAGTTTAGTTGTTTTCCTGCAGACGATTCATTACGCAAACTAGATAGCACTGACAGCACTGATAATGTTACCTAGTTTGGGTAAGGAAACGTCTGCAAGAAAACAAGCAAGCTCAGAGGCTCACAAGGGCCCCTCATTTCAACTCTGAGCTACAAATATTCTCCTTTATTAGGTTGGAAAAAGACAGCTGTCAGGAACAAAAGAGACTACTGGCCAAATGCAATCCTTGCTCTGTTGCAGTTCAATTTCTAAGCCATTTAAGACTTTCAACACTAACACCTGTTATTATGCCTTAAACCAAATTTACTTGAATTAGATCTGCCTGTCTGTCTATATTCAAACCAAATCAAACTTAAGTTTTTGTCCTAAGCATATTCTTTCTCCTGGTCCTTCAGAGTTTTTGGAAATGGCTTTCAGCATACCGTTAAAAAAAACCCAAGCGTGTCCTTTAGCGGGAAAAATACTGCTAATCCCCGTCTTAACTTCTAGGAAGTTCCTGAATTCTAGAAGCCACCAGGTTGGGAAAGGGTGCTTCAAGCAACTTATTTCTTTGTCAAAGCCCTTCCCCTCATGTCCAGATTATTCAGCAGAAAGAGGATTACTGCTGTAACAGGCCCTGAGCAAAAGCAAGCTTCTTAATGCTCTGTGATGAAGTGCAGCCTCGCTTTCACATCAATAATTCAGAAGGAGTGTAGTAATTACTACAATAAAACTGGACACTGAATGTATTAGTGAGGGATCATACCTGTCTCCTTATGCAGGCATAATATCGAACTATTGTCTTTATGTATGGGCTGCTTCATGCTAAGTTTGGTATAAGCCATCAGTAATGCAGCTGCCTGGATATCTCACCAAATGACATTATAGACCATGAACAGCTACACTTTGATCGCCATTACTCCTCTTATTGGTATTCCCAGCCATCTTTGTGAAAGCTACTTAGTGCATTATGTTTGTTTGCTTTTGTTGTTTTTGTATTAAACAACATAATATGATAATGACAGCATAACTAGGATATGAGGCATTTTGTGCAATGTTACAGAATACTGAGGTTCTCCCTATTGCCTACCCAGTAATTGGCTCTATACATTGTTATGGCCGAAACCTCTGTCCCTAAAGCAACCAAATCACTTTGAACTGATTAAGCAGGGATCAGTACAGTGTACACCCAGCTCCCAGCAAAGCAGAACCATAGATTATATACCTCTGTTCTACTGCATTTCAAAGATAAGACAAAGGCAAACACACTGTAAATAACAACATGGCAATGGAATATTTTGATAAACCCATCTGAGTGACCTTCTCATTATTCACTCCCTCCTACTAGATTAGTATGTTAGCTATAGTATCTCTGAAATATGGTCAGAGAATAGAAAAGATTTGGTTTACTGAACTACAGGTTCATGACTGATTCTTCTCCCTGTTGCTACTCAGGGTCAATTCAGCATGCTGTAAATGTTGTCATAAAGGCTCTTTAAGCAATTCACATGTTGCGGGGGGGGGGGGCATCTCATGGGTCTGGTCCTAAATGCAGTTCATATGTTCCCTTTTATCGCCACCACATAAAATGTTTTGAACAAATAAAAATGTTTCAGGAATCTTAGTGGGGGGAAAAAAAGAAAAGAAGACAGACAAAAAAAACCCTTCACCTAAATTGATGCTAACATTTCAAAATGATTGTTTATCACATCCTTTAAAAAAACCACCAAGATAAACATCTAATTATCTAAACATTTAATTATCTAATGTTTCTTTCAAGAGTCGGGCAAGATTTTTTTTAATGCTGAAGACTAAGAGCAGCCCTAGATTTGCCTGCTCAGCTGGTAGAAGTTGGAGTGCTGAGACAGCCATAGCTACTTGCTCTTCTGGTAGATGGCTCAGGATGTCTGGTGACTAGTGAAGGCAAATTTGTTATGCTTTTGCATACTCTGCAAGATGCAGTTGCAAGCCCTGTCTGCTTATACTGTGCTTTGGTATAAGAATATACCAAATAGAAATACTGCTGGAATATTGTTGCATATCTGATACACTCTATATTGTGTTACTTTCAACCAGGGTTTGTTGAAATTAATCTTAGGAAATAAATTCTCACATAATTCTAAACCATAAACCATTGTTTCCATAAATTTCATGTAACTATGCTAAGCTGAAACCAAGCAAATCATGTCATGACTTAACATAATTGTGGTGCTAAATAATTCATGCCTGTCCCTGAGTTTCGAATGGGCGTTATTGAAGGGATTTAATATTGTTTTTTGTCTTCTGCAGTAAGAAGTCAGTTCGCAAACTTTGAGTCTGCATTCCACTCAACAATTTCAATGAATTCCACTCACTCCTGCATTCCACTCAACAATTTCAATGAAATCGATAACTAAATGCAGAAACACCCACCTTTTAAATGCAAATCAGGCTGGCCAAATATTTGTATTTCACCTGAAATAATGAGTCACAAGAACAGGTTTCCTTGAGTTATGACTGTAATGCCCATCGCAACCGTAATTGTTGCAAAGTGGGTCAGGCATGTGACTGATGTGATTTTATTTTATATTTTTGCAGAAATCATTAAGCGAGAACCAAAGGTTTGCTACGGGCATGGTTTTGCCAAAAATGGAAGTAAATGCTGGTTTTCAGCAAAACCATTGACAAATGCAGTCATGTGACTGAGGGAAGCTGTAAGTGACTGTAAATGTGGTTTAATAGCCATTTGCCTGAAGTGCAGTAACATGATTGTGTGGGGTGGGTACATCGGAACTTGAAATCCGCCTGTATCCCCTAGATATATCCACTGGAAGTTTGAATGGTGACTAAGCAACAGGTCGTAAGTTGAGGACTACCTATAGCAAATCTGGCTATGGTCATAAATAGAACTCCCTTGCAATTAGACATATTGTACTCTGAACTGCCTTCTGAGAAGACAAGTATAAGACTGGATATATACATGTAGCTATATTTATACATCTGTCTGTGCATTACAGGCCTATCTAATGTGTGTCCTTATCCATGTTCAGCATGAAAGCAGAAATACCTCTTTGAAAATATAGAAGTTAAGTAGGACCATTCCAAAGTTGTAAAAAATCAACAAAAAGCGAAACTGGAAAGGTTCCCTTGTCTTCATCCATTTAGGCCCAAGCCAAACAGCGAGAAGGTAAAGTGTGCTTATTATCAAGGTTGGAAAAGGAGATTGCATCATAGGCCAGTTGTCAACACGTTTATCTGAAAGGAAAACAGAAAGAATATATCTGAGAATAGGCTTTTGCATCTTGTTTTAAATCAAATTCAATACATGGGGAGCCTAGAGTGTTCTCGTTTTAGCCTATCAGGGGCATTTTCCCTCTTTCCCCTAGTTTTCTGTTTCCTCCCCTTTTTTGATGGGACAATAATTCTGTAGGCCAGGTGCTTCCTCCCCCGGGGATTTATTTTTTTCCAAATAAGTTTGATACTCCTGCAAATTCAGGCTGCCTCTCTATGGGTTTTTGTTTTTAGCAACAAAACAATATTGCTTTGGAAAACTGATATTGCCATTCCGTGCTAAGTCATATAGACAAAATTGCAAACTAAGAGTTGTATGCTTTGGATTACATTATAAATGTTAAAAATGAGTACCACAAATATTTAAGTGGCTTTATGACTTGTATTGGCAGTCCTTTTTTTCAATGTTTGAACAAAGGCTTTGATGCATACATTTAATCCAAGGAGCAACCATGTGAGCTGGGCTTATACGCATTAATATTTATACATACAGATCATTTTAAAGTATTAACTCTGCTTTTGACATTAGAACTGTCATATTCTGTTGAACTGATGCAAGAGGAAAGAACTTCGCTTTTTCTATCACATATATAGACCACATTAAGAATACATATCATTTGAGCTAAGCTATGTTTTTTTCTTCCAACTATGTGAAACCAAGTGACATGGTATTCATAGCCTGAACATGAGTTACCATTTGCATCAATGAACTGTCAACTGTCTTTTTAAAAGTCCCACCAGTCAGTACAGAGCACAAGAAGTTCAAAGGACAGAGATCAGTTCATAAAACATACATGCACATAATACCGAAGAATTTTATCTGAAGATTACTACATGTTGATTGGTGGAGCCCCATCAAAGCTGACACCAGCCTGAGCATAAAACGACTCAAAGAAGTAGTGCAAGATCAGAAGATGTAGAGAGACCTGGCCCACAGAATCTTCAGACATGAATGAATGGGTCATAATTATCAATTGGCAGAGCAGGAAAATGCTTGGAAGAATAGTTATTCTTGAATATTCCATTAGACTTGCTTAAAGAGGGCTTTGACGCATATTTGTAACTAACTGTAGCAGGAGAGATACAAATTCAGGGAGTATCCAGGAAGAAAAAGTTAAGACATTAATATATATATATAATCCTAACAGAAAGGGAGAGACATCACTAGCACACCATTAACATAAACTGTGAAGAAAAGAGAGATTGGGACTCAATAATGCTGTACCTGGGTGCCTGTAATAGTAGGGTTACCTTGCTAATAATCTTCACATGCTTTGATTATTCTAAGTGGGTTCTGGGAGAGGGTGGAAATTTGGTAAGACTGATAACAGTTCACACAATCTAGTTGGGATACAAGAAATCAAAGTTATTATATTTGAGAAAGAAGAAAGGATAGATTTCACTCAACAAATGTTGCTGGAAGGAAATGCTGTAGTCACCTCTCAAACAGAAATTACTGTCAAATTCCATGCAGCTGGGCAAGATCAGGGAACCATGAAAACAAGGATTGTTAATTTGGAGTCAATGCATAATCCTGGAAACTGTAATAGAATTTCCCAGCCTAATTTATAGTGCATTAATTAAGGTGGAGTCTCTGAATTTTTTGGTCTGAGTTGTCATTCCATAGATAGTGCCTCCTCTGTTTTCTGATATTATTTTTGTCTTTTCCCTTCCCTTTCCACCCTCAATTTCTCAGATGATGTCACCCATTGATAGATTAAAAAGGAATGGGAGAAAGTTGAAACTTTTTTTGATTCACCTAAGCCTTTTAACAGAAAAAAATCCTGACTCGAATATTGATTTTTCAAGTGAAAATTACCAAACAATTTAGGTTTGCGCATATTAGGCTTGACTAAAAGTACTTCTATAAACTGAGCTTAAGTCCGCATAGAAATGTACAACCGTTACATACAGCTTTGGCTGATTCTTTGGAAAATGTAAGATATATGCTTCTTTCTTTCAGCTGCAAAAGGGACCTTTCTAAAGCTAATTTTGTTCAGCTGACTACATATCTATCCTGATATACCTGATGATATCTAAAAGGAGCTGCTGAGGAAGAGGTATGTAAATATACATGAAGGAATATAAATATGTATGAAGTAAACACATGAAATTTCTTTATAATTGACATACACATTCAATGGGATAGATTCATTGGGAAAATTGCTGGGGGAGGCCAATCTGTAGTCCCTTGAAGCATTTGGTGTGATGTACTCAGTTCCAGAATGAGCTAAAGTCTGGAGGCTCCTTTGTTACAGCAACAGTTGTCTCCGCCATAACTATTCCCAGGCTCCAAAGATAATGGGAGAAATTGGGCATGTTGGAAATATATATCTGCTCTATATTTGGTACTGTATGTAAAATTTTGGACCTATTAAAATAATAGGAAACAAAGACAGTAGTAACAACAACAACTGGCACTAAAACATAAAAAGAATTATTTGCCTCCTTTCATTTTATCTGAAATAAGTGACAGTTTTTTCATCATAACTTTCTCCCCCTTCTGATCTCCATAGGATCGATCTGTCTAAATATAAGCTTGTCACTTGATATTTTCAGAAACTACTGCTTGCTTCCTTTCTTCCCTAACACAATATTAAACATTCCTTCTTTTGGGGTGGCAGCAGAGGTGAAAAAAATGACAGCTTGGCTGAAGTAAAAAGGAAATTGATGGATATAATTTGCACAGGTGGTTTTTCTTCCCTTGAACAGAAGAGCTCAAGTCCAAGGAATTATGTTAAGCAATTATCAACTGCTGCTGCCGGCCCAGCATTACATAAGGAAGGAATATTCTGTCCACAGGGATTTGACAGATTTTAAGCACCTAAAAGCTACACAGATCCATCCAAAGCTATGTAAGGTGGGGACACAATATACTAAGGGCAAAATGGGAACATGATTTAAGTTATCAATGTCTCAACTACAAAGGGAAAGAAAATGTACATTGTAATCGATTATTCTGTGTTCACAGTAATTGATAAAAAAAAATCAAGTACTGGTATTTAGTTGCATTCATTTTGTGACTTTCTTTGCTGTCACAGATGATGATAAATGTGTCTGATCATCATTCAGTAAACAGACTAGTCAAAACATGATTTTGACCTAGAGAAGTCTTTATAATGCAGCGGATATATCTGCACTCTACTTTTCTATTGGGCAAACAAAGCAGCTTATAAAGTTGAATTGAACTTGTCAGAGAAAAAAATGAGAGTTCAATATCCTATTCACTTTGGAATGTAAAGCTTAATTATATAAATATTTACCAAAGAATAAATGCCAAGCTCAGTACTTATTCCAAGGACATGAATATATGAATAAAGTCACATTTTGTGAGATGGGGGCCTATATAAATATGATAAATGAATGAATAATGAGCCTTATTTGCTGGAAGTAAAGAACTCCTCTAAGTACATTGATTTATCTTAGTCTTTCCAAGCAGGTGTCCTCTTCATTGTTGAAATGCAATAGTCATTACAATTTCTAGGGATTATTCTGGAACTACTAAACCAATCAGGAGTTTTCTTCAGCATTAGCTGACAGACACAGAGTTACTCAACCCAACATGTCAACACTGCATTTCTCTGTGTTTGCTGTTATTTCTTTCAAATAGATTTCAATGGGTTCAAAGAAGCAGCTATATTACTGTCTATTTTAGTATCTTTGTCATTTAGTTTCAAGGAAAATTTTCTTATATTTAGCATACCTATTTTAATGTAACATAGCAGAGTTGCTCTGTTCAATTTTTTTTTAAAAAAACTATAAATCTTAACTATAAATACTTTTAAATATAAGAGATATTAAAATAGAATTAGCATGGACTCTTTTGTTACATCTTCTGATAGAACTTTTCCCCAGGTATATATCAAATTTTTGTCATTGTTCTGGTTTCCTGCAGTTATACTTTTCCCATAATTTTCCTTACTATATTCCTGTGCTAATTTTTCCTATTTTTAGGGACAAAAATCAGCAGGGTATCACATAACCTGTCATATATGTTATCCTTGACATATGATTGTAGTATAGCCTGACTATTACTGTCTCATATGTCATTATGATTGTAAAATGGGTTAGTCATGTGACTGACCTGATTTTGTGTTTTTTTTGTAAACATTGTTAAGCAAATGTAGTGGTCATTAAGGAAACCAATGGAAGTAAGTGCCAGTTTTTGGCAAAACTACCATAACACACAATCACATGACACTGAAGTGGCGATAAGTCAAGGACTATGTGTAGAACTCAGGATGGACTAGAATCTTGAATCCCCTCAATGCAATACGTAAATAGGCCTGTAAGATGTAACAAAGCAACAATACAGGAGGATACAACAATACAGCAACAATATCTCTTATATTTAAAAGTATTTATAGTTAAGATTTATAGTTTTTTTTAAAAAAATCCATTTGGATTAATTTGAGGGGTAAAACTGCGAAATAGCTGATAACAGTTTACACTATTTTCCAACAGATGGAAAATAGATGGCATCTACTTTTTATAATTCAAATGCAGGTATGTATGTATGAATGTATAGTTTCTGCTCTAAATTGCTACCAGAGTTTGGCTCCCAGTAGAAACCAGTGCACATGCAAACACAAGTCCAGTAGCTTCTGCAGTCACAAACAGGACAGGGGGATGCTTGTTTCTTAATTGATGCATCAGCAAGATATGTAGAAGAAGGATGCCTCTCACTGCTGCTTGGATGATGAGTTATGAATTATGTCTAAAGAGTGTTTCTATTGTATCTCATGTGAGTGAGTGTCAAATAGTTGCAGCTTGTATGAAAAGCCATTTTTCAAAAGCATTTTCTCTTTTGATATGATGTATCAAAATTGTGAAAAGACTATCTTTTAAAAGATGTGTTACTGAATATGTGCCAAGGAATATTTTGTATGATTGCCTAAGGATAAAGCACCAATCAACAAATATTATGCTTAAAACATTTGTGAAATATTATGTTGGAAATAAAT